AGAGTTACCTAAACACTATTGATTATACTAACAATATCATTCTGATGATATTTAATTGCTGGTAAAAATAACAATTTCTTAATTAATAATGTGAAGCCAAAACTCTAATTACTTAAGTGGAAAACTTTTTACTTTTTGATTTTCTTATAAATTAAATTAATGTCATAAAATTTCTTGAAATGAAAAATGATGAAAATTAAAGGAGAAGAATATAGGAGTCAGAAAGTTAGATGGAGGGAAAATGAAATGAAAATAAAGTTATTATAAGTAAGAATAAAAGAGGAAGAAGGATATATTCAAAAAGTGAATAATAATTGATTAATAATATATGATTTTTTCGTAATTATTAATATAAATAGTGTTTATTTCTTGATTTTGAGCTTGATTTATTAGAAAGAGTAATAAACCAAGCTACAGTATTATTTAGGAAATAATCTGACTAATGGGTAATGGTTAAGTTCACATGAACAGACCTATAGATTGAGAATAATCCAAATATAGATTACAAAGTAGCTTGTTTAATTAGATATTGCGAAAGATTTAGAAGGGAGTATTGATGAACCTTTTTGAATAATTAGTAACAAATGTACAATAATGAGGATATTTTCTAAGAAAAAATATTTATAAGATGTACTCTACTAAAATATAGATTGTTTAATTTTTGAAATCTAACCATGCCTTTAGTTCAAATGAGGCTGGTTGCATTGCTTGAAGTAACTTAGGTCTTTGCAAACTTCCTCACTGACAGTAACGGATCCTAAAACTTGACATCTCATACATCTTTTAGGTAGGATACTAATTTTTATAACACTTTTTAGATGTAAAGGATGGATATGCTCACGTAGTCCAGCACAACTAACCAGAAAATATATAAATTGTACTCTCAAATACCTTTTTGAATTTAAAGTTTCAAGATAGGCTAAACATATAGGGTGTTAAAAAAATGGATTATATTAACATTATTTCGCCAATTTATCCAATCAATAACCAAATAATAATAATATAATACATGTTTAATATGGATTAAGTAGTAAAAGTTTATTCTTTTAGGTAGATTTCGTTTAGGTTTTGTGATAAAGATCGATTTTTTTGCAAAAGGCAATTTGAGGTCATATTCCACATTATTCAATTTACATAATTGTTAATGTAATTTTAAGTTGAACTTTTGAATTTTTATTAATAATCAATAAAATTTGAATACTGAGAATATTGAAAATAATGAATTAAAATGAGATTAGGAAGATTTTTCATTTTTTTAATTTTCTCTTTAAAATAATTTTCAAATTTTCTAAATGTTTTGTATTTGGGTTATAGGCTATAGAATTTTTCTTCTTTAATATTTTATCAAAATTCATTCAAATTTCAACATCTATCCATTTCAAATCCTTATTGGAATAATAAAAATAATGAAACACTCAATTTCATTTCTTAAAATATTATTTCTAAGGTCAATCCTATACCAAAATTGTATAACAGACAAAGAGGATGATTGTAAATCTTCAGATTTTTAAATTGCTGGAACAATGGAATCAAATACTGGCATATGTGGTTCAGGTTCTAATAAAACATTTATTGGCCCATTTGGTAAAAAAACTTTAGTTACCTATAATGTTCCCTACCTTCTCGCCAACAAATAAGTGTAACTTTAGTTTGGAATATGGAAGTTTGACTCTTGGGATAATGAAGGATTTGAGATTAAGATAAATAATGTTTTAATGGATAACTTAATTGTAGGAAATTTTGATTATCCCAATTAATGCAGATAAACACAATTGGGAGATCACCTTTACCCTTTTTCCTATAATTTTTTACTGACAGATACTCATTTAACATTAACTCTATAAGACTTTTTAGATTCGTCATTACTTGATGGTACATGTTGAATTATTTTTAGAATCTTGGGGACTCAGAGACTTTGTTTTGTCACTTTCATCTAGTTGTGTTAATTTTTATAGTGAATGTAATTATACTGGAGAATTATTCCAAATATGTAAAGGTGATAAAACGACGAGATCTACAAGCTTACCCTATGAAATAAAATCGATTATGATGGATTACGGCATCATCGTGAAAATAAAAGATCCAAACTAGTTGGGAGGAGCTTTATAAGAGTATTCGTCTTCATAGCCCTGTATAGGCGGCTATAAGGTACTCATATAAGAATCAACTTTAGTTCCCAAAATATATTCCATAATGATTAATAAAGATATAAATACATAAAACAAATGATATCTAATTTCTTCACACATTGGATGTAAATCTTAATACAATTAATTTATAAGATTAAATAAACAAATTGGAGTTATTTTTCAGTTAAGTTTTAAAATGAGTTAATCTCCTGCATTCCTGATGTATGGCTGAGGCTTAACGACTTATGGATTATTATCAAAAATTGTTTTGAAAAAATGGTTCTCAAAAAAGTTATTTTTCAGATATTTATTCTTGAGTTTTAATTTAAGTTGTAGTTTTGATAAAAATTTGTTCATTTTTAAAATAATAATGAAATTCAGATAATTCAGATAATTCAGCGGAAGGTAGATGAAATAATAGGTTAAAGTAAGGATAATTAAGTAACCAAATTATGAATTAATAATAAAAAATAGTTAAGGCTGGATATGTAGGAGGAAAGTTCTTGAAAGGTTAAATTCTATAAATGAAATTACCAAAATATAAATATATGATATATGAATATATTTGAGTCAGAACAGAAAATAAAGAAAAGGAAGCAATTACATTAAGATTTTATAATTGATTGAATATGAGGTGTTTTCTGTTATTATTCTACCTCCTGTTCGGTATAAATTAGCAGAATTGTGGAGGCAAGCCTATCAGAGCAAATTGATGGGGGAAACACAAAAATTAATTCTTACTAATAAGAAATTCTTAAAATACTCAAGTTTAAAACTCTAAAGAATAATTAAATTATTAATATTTATATATATTGATCAAATTACCAATTCAATTTTCTTAATCATTTTTAATTATCAGGAACGATAACTATATCTACCCATAAGAAATATTTTATAAATCTAACCAATATGAGTGGCATGATTAATAAGCTGCCTTTATAAAATCATTAAGGTTCTCTTTGCTGTAATTAAATTCAAACTATGCTTATATTAATAATCATTATCAAGATGAATTTTAGAGAAATAATCCTTCAAAACTTCAAAAGTTGTTTAATATTTTAACATTGAAATGCAAATAATGATATTTAAATTTCATAATGAATAATAAATTTCAATTCCTTTTGTCACTTTTCTAATTTCATTAGCTGAAACCTTGAATTTATAAAATGAAGCCTATATTTTAAGCAACATCATTAACTGTTAGAGAGTTTATTAATGATTCAAACGTTGAATCAAAAAAGTTAAATTTACAAGATTGTCATCTAAATACTATTGAACTTCTAAAATGGGTTTGGCTAAGACTGGTATTAAAATAAAAGACCCTAAGACGCCAGTAATATGGTCGGCCCTGAGGAAGAGTAACCTGGTACGTACTAGTGTGGGAGGGTTGGGTCAAAGAAGTGTGAAAAATGGGAGGCTTTGAAGATAGATTAGAGGGGGTGTAAGTCGTAGAATTTTTTAAGTATAGATAAATTTGTAAAAATTTGATAATTAATCAAAAAGAAATTTTTAATTCCTTTTGTC